ACTTCTCCGCCACCGTCTTTGCCGGACGCAGCGCCGGACCCGTCTCCGAGGGCGGCCTTTCGCCGTCCGACACCAATGAGTCAAAGCAAGACAACTTTATGTTCAACCTTTTTTTGTTAAGTTAATTGAGGATGTTCTGAGCAGATTAAATGCAAAAAAGACATGAGATATTTAATTTTTAATTCAGTCACCTCTATTGCTACGGAAGTGCGCCACATTTGTATGCTATTCCGTTTGTAATGCGCATCGGGCCGAGAGCCAAACTAGACCCGTTTGACGTCACTGATACGAATTTGCTCATGTAGTCGGTGCACTGAATGCGTTCTTGGGGAGCTGATGCGAATTAGCGTAGTGCGTATTTGGAACGGATCGCTCATGTAACCGAGTTATTCGATTCGGCCCGTATTTCACAAGAACTATTCTTCGCTGACTGGAAGCGTCAAAATGCAAAATAATAAGCATTTTTTTATTGGCTGCCTCGTAGAAAATAGCAAAAAAATGTTGGTATTTTGGTTTAGTCTTTGCATATGAAATAAAATGAATGAAATATTTTGATAGATAATTTTTTCTGACCACCCTGCTGTCGCTGCATGGCGAATCGGTGCCCACTGACTTAAAACAAGAAAACTTTGTTTTCATTTTTTGATTTCATGTTAATTTTAAATGTTTTTGAGCCTATTAAATGATAAAAGTATTTAAAATTTAGTTCAGTCGTCTCGGTAAATGCCGCAACTGCGCCATGACTGTACGCTAATCCTATTCCGTTTGTGATGCGCATTACCGGCCTTACCGGCCGTCGAGGAGTCAGCCCGGGTGAGCCAAACAAGATCCGTTTGACGTAGATAAAACGAATTAGTCTCATGTAACCGGTGCCGTAGATACGTTTGTGGGGAGCTGATGCGCATTAGCGTAGTGCGTATTTGGAACGGATCGCTCATGTAACCCCGGTAATTGACCTCTATAGTAACCTAGACGGGCGACTGCCGCGCCGCGGCCGGCACGGAATCGTTCCCGCATGGGGGCGCAGTGGCGCCACCTGCAAGTGGTCAGAAGTTCCCGGTCCCGGTAGACGGTCCATGTTAAGTGGGTAACTTTTTAAGTTGATTTTTATGAAAAATACAGCCTGCGGATGGCTGAAAAGGATTGTTATGTAACTGGACATGCTTTCTTAAGATGTGATGTGTTCGATTTCCAACAGGATGGCTCGAGCCATGCAATAAAGTGCATTATTTCAAATGACCCGGACGCTGGCATGGTGCAAAGCATATCGAAACGTGGAGAGGCTCCCTGCCGTAGGTAAGGCCATGCGGGACCAGGAACGTACCCGCTTCCTACTCAAGTGGCAAAAGATGATCAATTAGCAACCGAAAGGGGGTTGGGTCGAACGGACCCCCCCCCCCCGGCCGCGAGTTACCTAAGTGTGGAACTACCCAGCGCCGAGCCGGCCGGATGACGTCACACCACGGCCAGTGCCGGCGCGGCGGCAGACTGGCCGAGATTGGCATGGTCTTAACTTGGCGAAGAGGCATCGGACGCCAAACTTCTGCTGCAGCTATTAATCACATTTCATGCGTTTCTTCCATGTGTATGAGCTATCAAGTCCTTCGAATACCTAATGTGTAGGTGAGCGTACCTGCATTTAGCAGTGTGTGCTATGCTATGTGGATGGGCACATCCGACAGTCGACACACTGCGCAATGGATTCCGATATTGCTTGGCTGATTCTGGCTTTGTGTCTTCGAACGAACCATTGAAAGGGAGGACGTCATTTTTAAAGGTTGTTAGGTGCACTCAAACGTTTTAAGATAAGCAACTGCTGATTGAATTTCTGGCGAAGGTTGGTGGAACGCTTTGTTTACAAATGAGTATCTACCTACCTAGTACCTACCTGCAGTGGCAAATAACTGGGTCGCGGTCAGTTAGTCATGATTCACGAAGTCCCTTATCTTTTATTAGACTTATTAAGCCCAATGTGCAACATTTGCGTCTTTTCGCGTTGTATCGGGTAGCAAATGAGAAAATCTGCTTCTTCTCCACAGCCCTCAATTCAAGAAACCGTCCTTTTCCTTATCACATTATTCCAGAACATAATTTTCAAACATGGGTATCTTCCCCACAAAAAAAACTGAAGCAGTTTCCTTCGTCTCCAATGCGCCGCTCGCCCAGGGAGACGGAAGTGTTATATTCTCGGCGGTCCAGTCTGCATTCTGCAGCACACTCAAACTTGGCGGACCCCCAGCGCACGACTGAACGATTCGTATTGTTGTGAGTGACTGTGACAATTCACTGGTGGTTTCGGAATAATTAACAGGCGGCGCAGCCCAGTGCCTCTTACAATGATTTACAGTGGCGAATGCACTATTGCAGAGAAGAAATGGATTGAGCAGATGCCCAACCTCGCTGTATTATCAACTAAACATTAGGTACGCTTTACATTTTAATCAGGCAATCATGTAAACAAACGACTTGCGAGTTGCGACCCTTCCGACTTACATAACTCGGCAGAATGCCCCTGAGTCGGCTAAACTACACTGCATCTCTTCAAACCTTAAGTATTTTACAATTTACCACTCAGCTATGCAACAGGCTTATAATTCACTGCTCAAGTCTCAATCCCTTTTCCCTATCATCTTTTTGGCACCGTCCGTCAATCGCCATCTGCGCTGCCCACTGTCCAGCAAATAATCCGTCCGTCTCCAGTTCTCTGGCTGGGGCTTCCAAACTCAAGCGAACTCGCCGAAGTTTCGCCATTCAATGCGCAGGATCTGTACAATTGAGTTTGAGAGCCTCTGGGTTGGCTCGGCGCGCCTGCGCCGCGCCGTTGGTCCGGCCAAGTACGCGAGTGACGTCATGCTATAAGCGTCATCCCCCGACCAAAGTCACCAATCAGAGCCCTAGAATCGACTTGTAGTTCCACACTTAGGTAACTCGCCCCCCGGCCCCCACCTCCTCAGCTTTTCGCAAATAACTCGCGTAAAAAGCGACCGATCAATCGCGACGAAACTTTCAGTAACCTCGCGTAAATCAGTTTTACACCTACCCTAAAAATGTCATGACCCTGAGTCCCTGACCCAAATGACCTTTTGACCTGTGATCTACTTCTCGAGACCATATGTTGGGCCGGAATCGCGATTTGGCACATGTCGGCTCGCATTAGCCGCGCGTTTGCAGTCTTTTCGCGGTTTCAAGCGCTCAAACACGTGGTAAAATGCTGCTCCCGTGCATTAGGGTGGGTGTCAAGGTCACCTGAAGGTCAGGTCAGGTCATTGACCTTTGATGACCTCGGTTCACTTTTTCGAGTTTTACATGTTTGTAGGCTAGTTTTGGAGCTGATTTTCGAATTTAACAATTATTCTAACGTTTACGAAGTAGTTTTGGTGCCTTCGTGTCATGTTACGAAGCTGTCAGAGGCGGTTGACACCTACTGGGGTCTGGGAATACCCGGCAGGACCCCTACTGGTTGACCTGGCCTGACCCAACCTGGCCTAAATGCATCCAGACATCATCTGTGATAAAAATGAACATGATATTCGTGATCAGCACCCCGAAAACCTCATATCAGCAACACTTAACGACGTTCTAACAGGTCCCGATTTTCCCGACGCTTGGGTCATTGACCTGCCCGGCTGGAAGGTCAACCAATGACCTAGGACCTTAAAATTGGGTATCATCGGCTCCCTCTCGTCTACTTGCAATTCCATCCCTGATAGTCTGCCAGTGCTTAACCCTCGCCCGTATTGGTGTTTTTCCAGCCGCGAACGTATAAGGGGGGGGGGGTCCGTTTGACCCCCCCCTTGCCGTTTCGCCCCTGATCGAGCTAGAGCTTCGCGGAAAAAACGAGCGTGTTGCCCGGGACGAGAGGAAGCCGATGATACCCAATTTTAAGGTCCTAGGTCATTGGTTGACCTTGCAGGTCAGGTCAATTACCCCAAAGGCGGGAAAATCGGGCCCTGTTAGAACGTCGTAAAGTGTGGCTGCCATGAGGTTTTTCGGGGTGCTGATCACGAATATCATGTTAGTTTTGATCACAGATGATGTCTTCATGTATTTAGGCCAGGTCGGGTCAGGTCAGGTCAGGTCAACCAGTAAGGGTATTCGTAGTAGGTGGCAACCGCCTCTGACAGCTTCGTAACATGTTACGAAGGCACCAAAACTACTTCGTAAATGTTCATATGGTTGCTAAATTCGAATTCAGCTCCAAAAACTGGCCTAGAAACATGTAAAACTCGAAAAAGTGAACCGAGGTCATCAAAGGTCAATGACCTGACCTGACCTTCAGGTGACCTTGACACCCACCCTAATGCATGGGAGCAACATCATATCACATGTTTGAACGCTTGAAACCACGAAAAGACTGCAAACGCGCGGCTAATGTGAGCCGACATACGCTGAATTGCGATTCCAGCCAAACATGGTCTCAAATAGTAGGTCACAGGTCAAAGGTCATTTGGGTCAGGGTCATGAAATTTTCAGGGTAGGTGTGAAATTGATGAACGCGAGGGTACTGAAAGTTTCGTCGCGATCGGCCGCTTTTTACGCGAGCTATTCGCGAAAAACCATGGGGGGGTCCGTTCGACCCCCCCCCCCCCCTATACGGGCGAGGGTTAAATAGATCACCATCGATCTGGAATGATCATTTTTTCGCTTTTGCCACCTGAGTAGAAAGAGCAAGTACGTTCCTGGTACACTGCATGGCCTTACCTACGGCAGGGAGCCTCTCTACGCTTCGATACGCTATGCACTGCCAGAGTCCGGGTCATCTGAAATAATGCACTTGATTACATGGCTCGAGCCATCCTGTTGGTAATCGAAGACACCCACGCCTTAAGAAAGCATGTTCAGTTATAAAACAATCCCTTTCAGCCATCCGCATGCTGTATCTGGCATAAAAATCGACTTCAAAAGTTACCCACGTAACATGGACCGTCTACGGGGACCGGGAACTTCTGACCACTTGCAGGTGGCGCCACTGCGCCCCCATGCGGGAACAACTGCGGCGCGGCAGTCGTCCGTCTAGGTTACTATAGAGGTCAATGGTCAGCTGACTACGGCAATAATTGACGATACCTCGACGGTTCGTGGCGGGTTGCCTTGTGCACGGTAGGGCAGAGATCTTCTTGCCATTTTTTTATTTCAATTTGTGTGTAGTTACGTGGCTGAACCAGAGAAGAGTTTTGTTTTACTTGTACCGTCGCTTTTATCGTTGACGCTAGCATTCATTTATTCTTTTTAGATGGAAAATATGGCAATGCGGCTGTTTGCACACGTGCCAGAGTGGGTGTCTCAAGGATTAACCGCTGCCTATTTCAAGGGTATGTCTTTTGAGTTTTGGCTAATTATAGTTGTGAATTCACATGCAATATAATTTCCAATCAATGCATGATGTATGTGCTAAGTAGGTTGAGGTGTGACTGGTAATGTAAGGGGCGTGATGTCAGGAGTCCAGGCCTGAGGGCACAGCCCGGCTGCAGAGCATAGCGGCAGGGTCCGAGTCAATAATTGCCACACCTGCCCACTTGGCATGTTTGCAGTTTGCACCCATCCTTACCAACTAGGTTATAATCCTCACCAGCCTGCACCAGCCATCAGGCATTGCAAAGCCTATGAATGCTGCTATAGGTACTGCGTAGATTGTAGAACTGTTTGTTTTGGTAAATGTCAAGATGAGGTACGGTGAAGATAAAAAACAATCTAACCTGACCTAACCTTACCTACTGGCCTATTGCTATACATTGAACCTACCAACCTACAACCTAAAACCTACGACCTACAACCTACCAACTTACCAACTATAATTCATCTACACACATACCTAGGTCCTAGACCTTTGTTTCTATTTTAAAACTGGTATAAATGGGTAAGATAGTTTTTAAATAATTTGCTGAATTTTGTTTCGAATCTCCCAACTGAAAATTTATTTGCTACAATATTCTATAACCTTTCCCTGGATGCAGGGGCATTTTTGGCCACACATGGCTCATTTGTGTGTTAAAAAGCTATAGCTGCAGTGCCTCAAAACATTGAATTGGGATAGCTTATCATATTCATGCATACAAATTGTATCATATGTGAAATTTTTGCTCAAAGTTCAGGTCACATAAGGTAAGCTTACCAGGTCAAATTTAGTAGGTACCTACCTAAGCATGGGTCTAAAAACTTTGTTATTCCATCATTCCTACAGCTTATCTTCCAGAAATGTTCTATTCAGAGTTTGTATTGCTTGAGGAAATCAGTAACAACAATTTGTATATCTGAATTTTAATACCTGGGAGTTGAGTTCAGTTCAATTGTGTGATGTCTCCATTATAAGTTGATGGGATAGAATAAAGCTGCTTTTCTTTTGGACAAAAGTCAAACTTAATGCTTAAACATCAGGATACAGGTAAACATGACACTTTCAAGGAAAAAAGTTATACATTCTCTATGCCATTGAGGTCATCTCAGGTCTGAAAGGTCTCTAGCAATTTTTGACAAAAGGTAACTTATGAATTATGATAGAGCCATGCTAGAGTGAGGAAACCACATAAGATAGCCTCCAGGACAAATTTTTGAATGACATTTCTTTGTCGGGGAAATCTTCGTCTGTAAGACCTGGCCGTTCATTTCTTCGTCTCGCATTTCATCGTAACCGCAAAATAGATTCGTAGCGCATTTCTTCCCATCCATATTTCTTCGTCGGCACGTTTCTTCGTTTCGCATTTTTTCGTCCACGCATTTCTCCGCCTATTCAGATTTTCGTCCTCGATGTGCTGCTAGTACTGCCGGTTGCGCAAAGTGATGCGGCCGGACTCGTGCACCTTGACGAGATATTGGTCATGCGGCATCCTCTCCACCACCACGGCGGTGTGGTCCCATCGTTTGCCGTGTGTGCCAGAGCCCAGACTGGTTCTGGAGACGCACCTTGGCGCCGGGGATCAGGGGTGGCTGCTGACGAGTATGTGGACTTGTGGAGTCAGTATGTCCACTTGCCTGGTGAACCGGAGCCGTAGGCCTCCTCCTGATGTGCCCATGCCTCGCGCCATGTAGGATGCACAGCAGCGCTGGTGAAACCTCGAGTCTGTGGCGCGATAGGAAGCAGCATAGCGGTTCAAGAGCCACTCCTTCATTCTAGCACAGCTGGATGGAGATGCCGGCACGGGCAGAGACACCGGACGACCGGGAGGTTGCGTGCGCTCCGGGCAACGGCACGCTGCCGTCGGAGCGCCCACGCGGCCGTGCCGGTCGCGGTCTTCGCTCGCAGAGGTCGGCTCGGTACCGGCGGAGACCTACTGACTGATCTGACTCGTCTGAGCTTGCTCACCGTTGAGAGTCGCAGAGGCCGCCACAGTCGCACCGATGCATGTGAAGTCTGCGCTCAGAACCCCGAGCTGCACCAGAGTGGTTTTGCTCAAGGTCTTGCTGACGTAGAAGCGTGAGGTAGAACCAGTTACGTAGACCATCGCAGATGTCTCCAAGCACTGGCCTCGCTAGTCTTGTACGGAGATGTTCAGGAACACTGCTCCAAGAACGCTGACCTCCTCGTTATTGGCTGCCAGGATGCGTTTCGAGACGCGCGTGAGGTTTTTCTCGCTTTAGCCCGAGCTTACGGAGGACGGACGGACCCATGAGGCATGTTTGAGCAGGCTTCTGACCGCCATTTTTTATTAACTAGAAACTCTATATACATATCCAGTAAACATGCCGACGTCGGCCCGACGTCGGGACGAGGCTCGGCCCGACGTCGGCCCAACGTCGGTTCAACCTCGGCCTGACATCGGCTGGACGTCGGATATGCCCGCATGTTCCGACGTCCAGCCGAAGTCCAGCCGACGTCGAGCCGACGTCGGGCCGAGATCGTTTGCCGAGGTTGACGAGATCGTTTGTCGTTGGACCGACGGGGCCGACGTCGGCATGTTTATTGGGACAACGCGCCAAAAATATCAACCGGCGGCGGGATTCGAGCCCCCCAGTCGCCGACGTCGGCGTGTTTACTGGGACAACACGCCAAAAGCGTCATCCGGCGATGGGATTCGAACCCCGTGTCATTCGAACGCGTGGTTAGTGCGCTAACCACTATACCACGCAGCCAGCTAACGAACTTGGTTTGTTTTGTTGGGTTATGCCCTTTCGGTCTGACAAGACCATTTCAGAGCCGGAAGGATGATAGGATGGAGACATTGGTCTTCTTGGCGAGCACCCTGGGTCCAGTTCGTATAGAGTCCCTGGTCCCATTGCTGTTACGTGACACTTATTGGAAAGGGCGACCCCACAATGGATTCATATAGCCACTCTTACACACCTGCACCAACGTTTCCCAAAGTGTCCCTTTGATAAGTGGCACTTTGGCAAAGTGACACTTGCCGACTGGCCTTTCTATATGAACTGGGCCCGGCCCTGGTGAGTTGCCGGGGCTGAGCCTGACCAAAGGATAGGCCGAGCAGCCCCCAAGCACTCACCGCACCCGGCTACGGGCGAGCTCGGCTTACGGGCAATCCCAAATGGGATAAAGTTTCCCGTCCAGTCCGGATCAGGGGGTTGCGGCGTGGAGGAAGATTTGAGTTTCCTGAGGATATTTTGAATATAGAAGCTCTTTATGAAACATGAAACATGTATTTTATATTATTTTAACGGTCAAAACAGCGGCCGATGTCGGTCCGACGTCGCCCCGACGTCGGCCCGACGTCGGCCGGACCTCAGCAATTGATCTCGGTCCGACGTCGGCCCGACGTCGGCTGGACCTCGGCTGGACGTCGGAACATGCGGGCATATCCGACATCCAGCCGACGTCGTGCCGAGGTTGGACCGACGTCGGGCCGACGTCGGCATGCTGATGCCGAGTTGCCGACGTCACCCCGACGTCGGCCGACGTCGGGCCGACGTCGGCATGTTTACTGGGTAGGTACTCAAAAATGTATGTTCTTTCGTATAGTGAAAAAAGGAAAATCGGCCGGTAACTTTGAAAATTATCGGCGTGTAAACGCAAAACAAATCGCTCAAGTGGCAGATTTGACTACATTTGACCCCGTTTGACCTTGAAGATATTGACTTAGGGGCATGAAGTTCACCCACAACAGAGCTCTCAGGGCCTCTACCTACCCTCAAAATTGCGTCTTTCTAGCTTCAGTGGGAGCTGAGATCTGGGGCGGGGGCGACATTCGCCCCCGCCCCCTTCCACTGGGCGTAGTACACGCAACCCTTCCACTGCACGGGTTAAAGCATTTATCGATGTTGTAAGTGCCCAAAGCGGTAATTGCAAGCCAGGGACCCCCAATTTGGCTACCTCAACTCAAAACTAATTTTACGGTGGGATGGTCACTTTTAAGTTCATTCGATACGACTCAACGATAGAGCGCGATGCCGGTAAAATCAGCGTAATACGAGGCTTGCATCAAAACTTATTGCAGGGAAATGGTTTCCGCAAAAACGTCAAATTCTGAAAAAAAGATCCTCTAGAGGCTAAATTATTGATCCTGTCAAATTTCAGAACGTTTGCAGAAGGTGCTTTGGAAGAGGTATTGAATGCGCATTTCCGTGGCGATCTGGCTCTGTTTATTTTTTAGTTATGCGCCGATTCGTGAAATATTGTCAAAATCGGGAATGCCTTTTGATTGAGACTTAGCCCGCCAGTTGCTGGGGTATTTCTCCACTCACCATTCGCGTGGGGGGGGGGGCTTAAACGTCCCCAGCCGAAAACTCGAGATCCAAAAAGCGCAGCGAAACACGCGAGGCGGGAAATGCAGAGACGAGACGCTTCTGATGAGTACCTGAAAAGTGAATTTCGAGGCCACAGGTCAAACAAGGTCAAACAGGTCAAACACCTGAAATTGGGGGCGTTGAACGCCTCCCCCCCCCCCCGAGCAGCTCGCGGTTTAGTGAATAAAACACTGCATTGCTTTGAGCTCACTTGTGCAGCGTGCCTGTAATTGTGATTCTGTTTGTCATTGCAGCGCAGAAGGTGTCGGCTCTGGGCTTCAGCCGTCAGTTCCACAGTCACCAGCGCACACTGCAGCAGCCCGACATGCGGGTCAGAATAATACCTGCCCTGCAAGACAACTACATGTATCTGGTGAGGGGCACAGTCAGCCAGTGGTTCGTGCATCTGCAGACACTAGGTACATGTACCTGGTGAGCGCCACAGTCAGCCAGTGGTTCTTGCATCTGCAAACACTAGGTACATGTACCTGGTGAGCGCCACAGTCAGCCAGTGGTTCGTGCATCTGCAGACACTAGGTACATGTACCTGGTGAGCGCCACAGTCAGCCAGTGGTTAGTGCATCTGCAGACACTACCTAATGGGTGGTCAGTGACCATCAGTTAACCAGTCACCAGGCAATGGAGTCACTAGTCAGTAGTTCCAGCCACTATACAGTGGATCTGTCTCTTCCTAGTAGGTAACATTGATCAGCATTCAGCACTTATTAGTGGATCAGTCTGTGGGTCAGTCACTGTGGCTACATATTCAGTGGATCAGTTCGGGGTTTATTCTTTCAGTCACTAGTCACTGGATCAATTCAGTGTCTAGTCTTGCATTATCTATTCCGTGGATCAATCACTTTATCAGCTGCCAATGGATCAGTGTTGGACTGTCTGACCTCACATACAGTGTGCTCTGACGTTATATGGCGTTAGCCTGTTTGACGTCACCCATGTATGATAACCTTACCTGACCTGACCTGGCCTGACCAAGCCGTGTGTGTGCCACCATCAGCTGGTAGACGAGTCCTCCAAACAGGCGGCCATTGTCGACCCGGTGGAGCCCGACTCAGTGAGGGCAGCTGTCAAGGAGGAAGGGGTGGAACTGACTACCGTGCTGACCACACACCACCACTGGTGAGGGACGGGGTGGAACTGACTACCGTGCTGACTACCCACCACCACTGGTGAGGGAGAGGGGGAGGGGGAGGGGGAGGGGGAGGGGGAGGGAGAGGGAGAGGGAGAGGGAGAGGGAGAGGGAGAGGGAGAGGGAGAGAGAGAGGGAGAGAGAGAGAGAGAGAGAGAGAGAGAGAGAGAGAGAGAGAGAGAGAGAAAGAGAGAGAGAGAGAGAGAGAGAGAGAGAGAGAGAGAGAGAGAGAGAGAGAGAGAGAGAGGAGAGGGGGTAGAGAGAGTAGAGAGAGGGGACACTGGTGTTATTGATTTATCCCTGGGAATACGATCGACTGACGACGCTAGACGGTTAGAGTGCTGAGATGACAGCCGACACCGAGCAGCTAATTTCCCTGAGTCGCTCGCAATTACCTGGCGTGACACGGTAAGTGCCCTTTTTTCTGCCTCAGTCGTCTGTCAGGTAACCACTTAGACACGCACCCTAACCATCCATATATTTAGATACACTCGGCGCGGCGCTGGGAAAAGGCAACTACGGAAGACATGTTCTCCTTTCAGGCGATGTCAGTGACTCGGCAGCTCCAAAAGCGGGCGCCGGGCACGGGTTTTCCAAACGGTTTTCCAGATTCCTTTATCGTAAATTAAGGGAGTTTCTGAACAAGCTTTCTGCTTGATTCAACTGATCCCACCGACCAAGCGTCTGCACTGCTTTCCTTAAGGCGATAATATCTGATCCTGACCCCCGCCCCCATACCTACTCTCATATTGCAAACAAACGCATAAACTGCTGATACTTCAGACGCTGATGACTCCTGAACCCCTTCACGCTCTCACAAGACCACGTGACCTGTCCACCTCCTCCCGGATGATGACTGTTCCCCTCCCGCGCTCTCACAAGTCACAGATTGACCTCCCCCGCGCTCTCACAGATGACTCCTGACCCCACCGTCTCACAGATTGACCTCCCCGGCGCTCTCAGGGACCACGCGGGTGGTAATGAGAAGCTGGTGGCTCAGGTGCCCGGACTGACTGTGCTCGGAGGTGACGACCGTATCGGAGCGCTGACCAGAAAGGTGGCGCACGGCGACACCCTCACTGTCGGGGCCCTGAAGGTAAGGCGGCGAACTCTGGGCGGGGGTCGGTATGTGTCAGTAGGTCAGAGTGGTGTATGTCAGGTCATATGTGGTCAGCTCCCAGTCCCTTTACGAGTATAAGCAGAAGATGCCGTCTGGTTTCCGTGACTGTATTTTGTGGGTCAAACGGTGACCTTGAGCTCGATTTTTCATTATCATGGTTTCGAGGTTCGAATCGTGTCATGATTGGTTGTAATATATTTTTACATTGGTGGGTAATAAGCTAAATGCTCGTGTGTTGTATCCCACGCTAATTTGTCTCTTTCTCCGTAGATTGGGTGTCTGTTTACTCACCCCTCTTTCCCGTGTATTGAGGGTCTATTTACCCCATTCCCTCCCACTCATATTTGAGTATCTATTTAATCCTCCCCTCTCTCCCATATTGAGTGTCTGATCACCCCTCCCCTTTGTCTCCTAAGATTAAGTGCCTGCAGATTACCCCTCACATCTCTCCCGTCAGATTGAGTGCCTGTTCACACCGTGCCACACCACGGGCCACATCTGCTACATGGTTCGCGGCCAGGAGGGCGAGGCGCCCGCCGTCTTCACAGGTGGGAACCGGGCCTAACAGTCTCCAACGAGCCCCGGGCCGGGGCCTACATTGAGTCTGGGCGAGATGGGAACCGGGCCTTACAGACTCCAACGAGCCCCGAGCCGGGGCCCTACATTGAGTCTGGGCGTGATGGGAACCGGGCCTTACAGACTCCAACGAGCCCCGAGCCGGGGCCCTACATTGAGTCTGGGCGAGATGGGAACCGGGCCTTACGGCTGACAGCGGGACGGAAACCGGGCCTTATACACTGAGCCTAGTCCTGGATGGGAACTGACAACTACATACAGGGTGTCTCAAAAGTTCGTTGACACATTTCCCATGCCCATAAAGCATATAAGAACCGGCCAAAAATATAAGGTTTTGGTGTCTGTGTGCACACTAGACAAATATGCATGCTTTGACAACTGATTCGGGAGGTTGGAAATCAAACCCTTTGCTGTATCTCCAAAAATATTTGCCCATACCGATTTTCGTCGCTCGGTCAGCTGCCGGAGGCTGATAAAAGGTTACCAGCTTTCAAGCTCTTGTAAGGGAATCCCCTGCAGTTTCTGCGTCGGATTTAGGTTTGACGAGCTCCCCGGCAACATCCACTTCTCCCTGAAAGCCGACAGCTTGCATCGACACCATCCGTGAGTATTTTGTAGGTCTTCTCTGGCGCTAACTCCTTCATGAATGAATGGCGCCGACCTCCCAAGCACCATTTTCCTTTTCAAAACAACCCCATTCCTGAACAAATGGGAAGTGCCAGGGGAAAATTTTTCGCAGCATATCGTAGAAGAATGTGTCGGCCATCTGTTTTTTAGACACATTGTGCAAATTTTGCAAATCCCAAACGCTCGTCATTCCCCATGGCCCATGCCAAGACCTTCGCTGGGTTGCGGAGTGTTTTCCTCAGGAGATGTTCTGCTTTGTAAACGGCTAAAACCTGTCCATCGTGTGGTTTTGTCGGGATTTTGTGTCTAAAAGAAAGCTATTCGCTCCAGATCTGCCTCTTGAAACTTCGTAAGATAAAACTTTACATTAATTGACACTTTTGGAGGGTCAGTTGTCCTTGGTATTGATGATTTTCGTGTTATTTTCCCCAAAAATTTAGCGTTATAGATATTATAAACAATTTCAAATGATACTTTGTCTTTATTTTACGGATACCTTCAATTTTTGAAACTGGGTAACCTCTGTCTGTGAGCTTCTTGTCAGTTTTCAATAGTTGGGGCATTCCACGATAGATCGTACCAGGCCCGTCACCCTCATCTCTCGGATTTTAATGAAAATCGGTCCTAGGGGTAATCATAGGCCCCTAAGACGCCTGGCAAAATATTAGACTTCTCAGATCAAAACTTTTTAAGTTATATTGCATTACATTTTTTTAACTTCGATTTGTAACGGTGAGTTTGATGGCCTATAGCTCAAGAACGGGTTAAGCAACCAACAAAAAGTAAACAACACTAAGCTTGCGATGAATCAAAAATTAATATTACCATTTAAAAATTCCAAAGAAAAAATTTCATTGTTGAGCAAAAACCTTGATCTTTTTTCATTTACCTGTAATGACTTTTGGGACCAAAATTTTTGACATTTTTATTTTTTCAAAATAAACTTCATGTCAATGCAAATCGACATGCAAAAAATTAGAAAGGTGTTCTTTCTATAAGTTCCTCATTTTCCCGCAAACAAAAAGGTTTCGGAGGGGTTGATACGACCCCAGGACGCCGTTTCGCTTCTAATAGAGCTAGAGCCTCGCGGAAAAAACGAGCGTGTGTGCCGTTACAAGTCGCAGCGATTGGTACCCGATTTTAAAGTCTCAGGTTAACTGGTAGCGGCTGAGGTCAGGTCAAGTGACTGAAGTTACGGGTTCGGTTTTTAGCAAATAACTTCGCAAAAAATGACCGCAGAGCCACGATTTTGGCATCATTGTGTTCGCCTCAGGTGCATCGAATGGTATACTTTTTGCTAGGGAGAGGTCAACTTAAGTAGTTGACCTCGGGTCAAGGTCAGGTCAGAGCCCCTCAGGTCAAGAAGCTGAGTAAAGGGTATCATATGGCATATCATTCGATTCGGAAGGTCTTCCTGAGTTCATTGGTGACTTTCCCGACTCTCTAGCTCCATTTTATCGGGAGTTGTTGACGAAAAACTCGTACGACCCTAATGACGTCATAAATGACGTCACGCAAGGTTAAAAATGCAAAAGTGAAGCATTGGACTTTGCAAGGAGTGCATGAAATCACGATGCCATGTACGTGAGATAGTTTTAGATCATTCTCGGCGCCAAAATAACAGTTTTTATATTTCCCCATTGATTTATAACAGTGATGTCACGTGACCGACCTGACCTCATGTAACCAACAAATTCCCAGATATACAAGTTGTAAGACCTCTGGAGGACACCATGTATGCGTCCTGTAACTTTCATCTCGGACAGCTATGGTCATTGGCGTCCAAAACAGTGTCAGAACCAAACAGCCTTTTCACCCTCGCGCTTATAGGAAAGAGGGTTGGATGAACCCTCTTTTCACTTTTTTTCAGATGACTCAGACTTCAATTGAAATTTCAGTAACACGTGATGTCACTAGGCAGCTTTACCACGCCATTTGTAAGCTCCCCTCCCGAAATCACTATTCGAAACCGTTATCGTGACGTAAAATACATACATTTATAGAAAGAACACCTTCCTAATTTTTTGCATACTTCTTAACAATGAGCCAAATATTTTTTTTAAAGAAATAAAAATTCAAAAAAAAAATTGGTCCCAAAGTCCAAAAAATACAATTGAAAGAAAACTCGATATGTCATATATAAAAAATAACGTATTTTTCGAAATTTCAAAAATACATATTAATCTCTGTTTCATTGCAAGTTCAATGTTAAATAACATTTGGCATTTGAATAATCCGTCTTAGAGTTACAGCCCGCCAAACTTAACGCTGCAAAGCAAGATCCAAAAAATGTTATACACCATAACTCAAAAAATACTTGATATGATAAGCCTGAAATTGTTACATAAGCCTGAAATTGTTACAGGTGGATTCAGAGCCCCTGATTACCCCTGCGACCAATTCTCGTCAAATTCCGAGAGATGAGGGTGTCAAATTGGAAAAAAGTGGTACGATCTATCGTGGAATGCCCCAGATATGACTGCATTTTCAGCTGCTTTCCGGAGCACGAGTCTGCTGCCGTACGAGGGTCGTTCAAAACGCTGTTAGTCTAGCATGGTTTTGTCCCTCAAAAGTTTTAGCCACCGTTTTTATTAGATGATCATCATGTTCTACTCATCCTCGCCGACACTTTGCCATGTGTCATTTCCGACTTAACCATTCCCATTACTCCTGAAACAGAGAGTTTCTCAGCCGACCCGATTTTGCGACCTCCGTTTTCATGCTTGACCCATGGTCAGAGATAAACCCTTTTTGTGGGCTCATGAAGGGTCGAATGCGCTTGAAAACAATGAGACTGCTTGAGGAAGGTTGTTACCAATGCCCATGCAAAATTTCGACTGTTAATTCATTGTTGATTCAGAATTATTGACAAAAAAGCATGGCTGGTACCTGTCAACGAACTTTTGAGTCACCCTGTAGAGTCTGGACGGACAGATGTGATCGCCTTGCACTGGACCTAGGCGGACGGATATGAAGGGGGCTTTTTATTGAACCTAGGCGTGCGGGTGGAACTGGGCCTTATATTGAGCATTAACTGAAACTGGGCCTTACATTGGCCCTGGTCATGATCGCATGAGCTCCTAATTTCTGGGTGATGTCCGGAGTAAGTATAGATATTTGCTTGTTGATATAGATATTTGGTATAAATATTTCCTGGTTTGCTATGTGCTATTTCTGCACATTTTAGATCACTTTCTGTTGTATATGGTGGATTTATATGTTTCTAGCTTCCGAGTGTCTCCCCGGCAGGTGACACGTTGTTCCAGGGTGGGTGTGGACGGTTTTTCGAGGGCACCGCTGATCAGATGTACAAGGCGCTGGTACAGACGCTCGGCCAGCTGCCTGATGATACGGTACGTGCGCCAGGGGATGGAGGCTGTGGGGTGGGCAGGGAAGGAGGTGAGGGATGGGAGAGGCTATCACTGATCGCACGACGGGCGTGGGAACGTGAGTACACGGTGGTAAGGTGATCGAGAGACGCTTGTAAGGACCGGATTTTGATCGCACGCATAATCTCGAAGTTGATCTTTTTCAGTGGTAGCATTACATTCTGGAATTGCGTTCTTGGTTTATCATTTTTGTTTGATTTGTTTGTCTTTTTGGTCTAACGTGGCCATTTCAAAGCCGGAGAGATGCTAGGAATTAGGGGGTGACATTCGTCTGGGCTGCCATCCTGGTGAGTCGCCGGGGCTGAGCTGGTTACACTGGACGTGCCACCCAGCCTGGCAAACTGCGGGTATACCCCCCCCCCCCTAACTTTCCTATCATCAGCTGGCTGACCTCCTGTGCCGTTATTTTGCAGAAGGTATACTGCGGCCACGAGTACACGCTCCAGAACCTGGCGTTCGCCGCGCACGTCGAACCAGACAACGAACAGATAGCTGCCCGAATCGACTGGGCGCGCTCCCAGCGGGCCAAGGAGGAACCCACAGTTCCGTCCACCATCGGTAGGTGGCAGCACCGGCTGACATGGTTTCTTTCCGAGCCTATTTGTTTGTCTTGCGTTACTAAGGGTGGAATGTGTTTTATTAGCCTTTAACGGGTTTCTATTTAGATAGCGCTCGTTCCTATTTGCTGAACTTTCTGCTGTAAATGTTATGGGAATGATCTGATAGTGCCATGACAATGTTTGGCTAAATCAGCGAGGATATAGGAATACTTGATTGTATTTTCAGCATGTTTTGATCCATCCGCTGACCGTTCGCCGACTCCTGCAGGTCTGGAGAAGCAGATCAACCCGTTCTGTCGCGTGCACGAGCCGCCGGTCCAGAGTCACACATCTACCACTGAGCCGGTGCCTACCATGGCCGCACTACGGGCCGAAAAGGACCAGTTCAAGGCCAAAAAGTGAGCCGCCGCGGAACAGCGAGAGGAGGCTGTGAGGGAGAGATGTGGGGAGGAAGGAGCGGAGAATAAGAGAAGAGAATGTGAACTGTATGGGGGAGTGGGGAGGAGAGTTGGCAACACTGGAAATCTACGTTGATTGTTATGAGGGGCTACAGCTGAAGTGATCAGTGGTGGAGCTCGATGTATTGTTTATACTGTCTGCCGTTAAAACGTGAAACGTCGTTCATTGTCGATGGACGTGTTAGAGCCGAACTAACAGCCTGCACATGACTCTCTCAGCATTATTAGTGTAATGTAGTTATAGACCTACATGGAATTTAACAATGACTGATGTATATATAACCACACTTATCAGCACCTACAGCCTAATATAGGTAGTCCTAATTTCTAAAAGGATGCTTTTTGTGATAGACATTCAAAGGTTAGTAGATACCTCTCGTGTTAACTTGGTTAGGATTAGCCTATTAATTAATCTGTGTTTAGGTTCCTATACCGTTACTCATTAGCACCGGTGAACAGGGCTGCTGTTTCGAATAAATCGGGCTTACTTTCATGTCCGTCTTCTTCAGCCATTGGGGTTCAGTTCCCATTAGGGACAGGCGACTTTGTGCTCCCCGGGCCATGTGCCGCTTGGAATAGAGTTTGCTGAGAGCTGCGGTTGGAGGTGAGGCGGATTTGTGGTCTAATCCATAAACTTACTAGCCTGTTTTGAATTCCGTCATTTCGTACCTTTTTCTGAAGAAGTTGGTCGGATTTTATTTTCGCATGTCTCTGGACTGGATTGGGTATCACTTACCATTTGTGCCCACTGCCCACGGATCTGCTGCCCACGGTCTATAATAATACATACACATTTCTACCTAAAACAGCAATAAAGGCTTGTCTAGCAGGGAACGCTGGTTTTGCGTCAGGATTAGTTGATCTATCGCATTATGTACCGCTGATCCACTCACCTGGCCAAATATGATTCTCATAGGTGGGTTATCTGTTGTGGACTGGGTGCAGAATATGCTTGCGGTGCCGCACATATGTGAATAAACGGACAAATACGATGTTGATCCTGCCTGTGTTGCGACGATAAATCTATTCCAAATATACTCAGATAAGGCGAGACTATGGAGAGTAAAATGCGAGTAGTTTCCAAAGGATGAACCTACCTGAGAGTTCATTGAAACTTCTTGGTTCTTACGCTTCTTACAGAATACAGCGTCTCAGAACGAATATCACTGCTTACTCGTATTATCGTGATGAGAGGAAGCGAAGATTGATATTCGTAAGTAACCTACAGTTGGGATAAAAGAAATGCAACACAAAACAAGTTTTCCCTGCTAGTTTGAATAAATGGTGATATTTATTCATAAAAAATCATAAAGAATTCAGACATATATCCGAAAAGTGGGAACAAAATATGTGAAGACCAAATGTTGGCAGTGAATTTATGTGGCGTCTCAAGTACAGTTTGTAGCAGGGCTGCGGAGTCGGAGTCGGAGTCGGAGTCGGAGTCGATCGGAGTCGACAGTTGTGACCGGAGTCGGAGTCGGAGTCGGAGTCGATTTTAGAAACCCGAGCCGGAGTCGGAGTCGGAGTCACCGAAAATCTGTCGACTCCGCAGCCCTGCTAGGCCTGCGGAGTCGGAGTCGGGAGTTGGAGTCAGTCGGAGTCGACAATTCTGCCCGGAGTTGGAGTCGGAGTCGGAGCTGGTTTTTGAAAGCCGGAGTCGGAGTCGGAGTCGGAGTCGCCGAAAATTCATCGACTCCGCAGCCCTGGTTTGTAGCAGTGAATTTGTGAACGACAACTGTGACAATTGCAGAAACCTTGAACACGGGAAAAGACTGTTGAAGACGTTGAGTTGGCTATTTTTTTTCCACGAAAAAGGTACGCATTGTTATGACTTTGCATTGTTAGATTAAAATAAGTATAAGCTTTTATCCCTAATGCCGTCTCATATACTTTGTATATCATTACCCTAAGTATGATCCTATTTTGATTGCGGCGTATTCGGCCATCGGGTCACTTTCGTCGCGTATCTGGATCTCAAAGTTGAAGTGTTTGCCCTTTTAAAGGAAATAGTTCAATTTTAACATGGGATTTTGGACTGAAATAGCAGTTCCGTAGCTTGAGCCGAGACAAGCACAAATTAGGAGTTTTACGGCCCAACGATCACCCTAGGCAAATATATTCCATTTCTCGTTAGAAAAAGGTGCCTTGCTGAGGAATGTGCGCCTTGCAGCCTTGCAAGGGTCACTTCCCTCCTTGAAAACTGAATAGTTCTTCCTTAAAATACAGATAATAATCTTTTTTTATAAAAAGTTTTATTTTCTTTGCTAATCATTTTGAGGATAAAAGTCATAAATCCATTGCAAAAAAAAACTTATTTCGTGATAGTGAACTCAGTTGGGGAAACTACGAGGCGAATGTCAAAAAATGGATTGGTCAATAAATGGACTTTTGATGACCATATATGGGCATCAATGCAGCCCCCACTACTAAGGGTGAAAAACGGTATAACAAGCCAGTACTTGCGGTATCGCGTCCACTTATTGGAGAGAAAAGGCTTCCATTTTTCACTAGGAATTAGCGTGAGTTGATTAAATTTGGCGAATTGACTCGAAAACGGCGATAGGAAAACGGTTTTTTCTGCAGGTTCTGGGCGTCACAATCAGCTGGCCATTCAATAAATGGATTGGTTTTATGAAAGAAAACTGTTAAAAGATTTAATTTAATTACAATAAACAAAGATATTTAATTTTAAAATAATAACTTAACCACAATAACAAAAACCATAAACAAAATAATAAAAATAATGACATTTTTAGACCACGATACTGATTACATTTTTTGGCGCGTCTGTTTCAATCCGCCATATTTGCCAATCACGGTTTGACCTTGCGTTGTAACTCTGCTATTTAGAGCCGCCAGTTAATTATGCACCGAGTGAGTGTAGGTCTTGTGTGGTTAAAAAACATTCTTATGCCTTATTTTTTCATTTGAATGCTAGGATTCATTGAAAAGATGAAGTTGTCTGATTTTATTACCATATATGGTCATCGCCCCGCCCACTCCAGCCGCTGATTGGCTAATCCAATTTTTGTTTGGCTCCTCGTAGTTTCCCCAACTGAACTATTCCCCTTAACTTGTACATTTTACTCTTTGTGTAGGCTGGCATTGTTGGTTTTATGATTCTATTTCATAATGAAGTAATAAGATAATGAACAGTTCTAACTAAAGTGATAGTCATTTACAAAAAGTTTAATTTGCCTCACGGATGTTAGTCGTGGCTGCCGCGGAGCACTTGAACAGGGTCCAGGACCGAGGTAGTTCCAGAAATGTGATACTCTTATTAGATACTGAGAGGTGATCATGCTTCTAAAAAAGTTTCTCAAATTTAAAACTCCTCAGATTATGCCTTCTTGTGCATTACTGCCATTTTGAGCTGCATTATCCATTTCAAAGTTTTAAAAGCTTTATTCCTTAGTCAGAAAACAAAATTTTAATTTTACCAATCATTTTAGATGTTACAGAAGAGCAATGCAGTTGATGCATTCCCTCTGGGATTAGCTAGTGTGGCTGCCCAAACTGCAGATGCATGAATGTCCAGGAAAATTGTGTCTTGGAGGCTTATTGGGGTCATCTAGGGAATAATTTGCATTTAAAACAGTTTTTATAATAATTGTGAATTATACCTTTCCTAAAGAATTATTGCTTTCTGAAATGCAGACTGGCTCAGTTCTGGCTCTCTGGTACCTGCTGTCAACTTCATTGCTGTTGCAGTCCAATAGACCAGCAGGCAGCACTGGCAGCAGCTACCTATCCCATTTAGCTAGTAGGGAGTTCATAATAGATCAGACAGGTTTGAATCAGGTATAGGTAGGTACCTAATGTGTATTGTTATGCATTTTTGTTCATTGCATACTATGCCTCTTGTACTATTAATTCAAGCTAGCATTCCACTCATGCTGATATTATTTCTTCTGCCTGCATATGTTTGATGAGGAAGGTAACTTAACCAGTGTTTACCAAATAGCAGTGTATGGATTTTGATCATGGATTTTGCTGCATCCAGTGCTTTTGGTTACCAACATTTGATGTGCATCCAATCCAGCACACTGAAAGCTATATGACAGGCAGTAAAGCTAATATCAGACATCAGATGATGGTACCCAGATTACCTAGCTGTTGAAGGTATTAGTTGTTATGAAATGAGATGAACAAACAACATTAAATCAGCGACATTCTGAGTTGTTTTCTCAGAAATTGAATGACTCATGAGTCAATGGTCATTTCTAAATTTGGTATTCTGATTAGGATGTCTGGAGACAAGAGATTGAAGTAGAGTCAGCTACTATTTCCAACTGAACTTCTGATTCAAAGAATGATTATTGGCCCACAACTGTTGTTACCTACCACTTGTTACATGTATGTAAATGACTCCAAGGCCCCAGGCTAACTGGGACTGGGGTGTGTCATCCATGCTCCTTCCCCTATCAGTTGCTGCGAGCTTATCCAACTCTGTTCCTTGTGTTCTGTTCTGCAGCCATTTATCTGTCCCACTAACTGAGGCTGCAGTGAGCTGGTTATGTCCTGTTTGTTCTGCTGTGGAATTGTTTCCTTGTCCCATTAACCTGATCACTGAGCTACTAGGCTCTGTGATTCTTTTCACTAGTTGTTTCTTTGTCCAGCTACCTGATCGCAGAGAGTGCTAACTTAGTTCTGTTTTTATACTGTCTGTCTATTTACTCTGTAGCTTTGTCTCTGTTCCACTAACAGACTAGCTGACCGTGACCAGCCCTGTGCCGCCTGCGTCGTCTGCCCTGTTCTCCAGCTATGATTTCCCTGTCCCTCTATCAGACAGACCTGACCTGGCTCTGTCCTGTGCTGACTGCTGACTGACGCCGTACCGCCCTGTCTGCAGATGCTCCCGTGGCCACGATGAGCGGCCATCAGCAGCGCGCGATGTCTGAGACTCGCGCGACGGTGGGCGGTACAGCCAGTCCGTCCTACTCGAGTCAGACGACCGGCCGGCCGCGCGGTGAGTCGGGTGGGGGGCGACGGTATTAACGCAGTTACTGGTAGCCGGCAGGTGGGGCTCGGCTGCCAGTAGTCTAATCGGCACCACAACTGCATCAGGTGGCCAGTGCTGCGTCATGGACATGCATAGTCTGCAGCTACAGCTAGTTGGTACTGGTGCTAGGTTGTTAGATTGTGTCATATACAGACTCGTATAACACTATCACGATTGGTCATTGATGAATGATATACCATCCTGCCATTACTGGTGCATGCACCTGTCTAATTAAGTCATTACACTGTACCACTCACGTCCAATATATCAAGAATCATATAAATATTGTCCACCAGCAATGTGGAAGACCAAGAACACCATCCCATATATGCCCCTCGATATTTTCTAACATAAGCCCTGAACACGCTCATCAACACGACCCTCCAGGTCTACGGTCACTGTGCTTATATCAACACCACCCTCTAACTCATGCTACCCCTCCAAGTCCACAAGTGCCCTGACCGGTCCAGCCGCCTGTGCTCCCCAGGCATAGGCACACACACAGCTCCCCGTTCCCCTCCCTGGCTTCCCTGCTACCCCATGTGTTCCTCAGGTCTAGCCACGACCCATTTCCCCCATTCCCCTCCCTGGCTGTCCTGACTGACCAGTGTGCTCCTCAGGTCTAGCCACACCACAGTTCCCCCATTCCCCTCCCTGGCTGTCCTGACTACCTTGTGTGTTCCTCAACAAGTCTAGCCACACACACAGCTCCCCCGTTCCCCTCCCTGGCTGTCCTGACTGACCTGTGTGCTCCCCAGGTCTAGTCACACACAGCTCCCCATTCCCCTCCCTGGCTGCCTTAACTACCCCATGTGTTCCCCTGCAGGTCTAGCCACGACCCATTTCCCCTCCCTGGCTAGTGGCTGTCCTAACTGAGCGGTGTGCTCCGCAGGTATGAACGAGTCGCGCCTGACTCCCGGTCCCGGCGAGGAGTCTTCGCTGTCCCCGCAGGACTACAACTTGCAGCAGTCGAACCTGCAACTGCTCAAGGCAGAACTGAAGGTGAGATACTCCCGACACACTCGGACTTGGGAGCGACACACCTTTGTCCTTCTTTCGACAATGTCCCTGATTCCCCAGACTATCGAGTGAACGTCGTCATATAAAAAGATTAGGTTGCGAATAACACCTAAAGCTAGCCGTTTTCGTGTGTATGTAGGAAAACTACTCGTAGGCAAAGTTACTGAACATATAGCTCGAACGTCCGCCCCAGGCCCGTACTGGGAGTAGATATGGCAGCTTACTTATCAATGAGACTGCAAAGAACACTGTGGCGGCTTCCGATCCAAATTTTATTTGCCATGTTGCACTGGAGGGTGATAGCATGGTTTTGATGCGTCACTGCTTCTAGCTCTTTGTTTGGTTGATATTTGACTTATGAGGTGGTCCGTTTTCTTGTGAGAAAGTTGGCTGAGTTCTTCACCAATGCTCTTGTTCACTGCACCCGATTCTCCCTACAGTCTTATAACACGCGAACACAACAGACGCCAGCTCAGCTCTGCGACTCTCCGTCACTGACTCCCCTCCCCTCGCCGTCAGCTGGTGACTCACGAGCGGGACAGCCTACGCAAGGAGCTCACCAAACTGAACAAGACACTGTCTGAACGCGAGCTGGCCATCCGCCGGCTGGGCGACGACCCCTCCTCGCCTGCCCACGGCCGCCACGGGCCGCTGCAGCTGCTCCACCAGACGGCAGGGGCCGACGCCGGGCAGTATGGTAAGTAGCGGGGGATAGGAACAGATCCTGGGGCACAGGCAGTGAGGCCACGGACCGCTGCAGCTGCTCCACCAGACGGCCGGGGCCGACGCCGGGCAGTATGGTAAGTGTGTGTGTGTGGTGGTGGTGGTGGTGTGGGGGGGGGGATGGGAGCGGATCCTGGGGCACAGGCGGTGAGGTGAAGGGAGGGGAGGATACTCGGACAGTACGATAAGTGTTGACTCCGTCGGATTGCTATGCACGTAGTTATAGTGATCTAGTTATATAACTATTTACAGATTTGTGGTAGTGATCCCGGTGACCTAGTCACACAAATTACTTATGCACCAGTTATTTATTAGTTTACTTCATTCCAAGTCATTACACATCTTTGTTTCCATCTCATTTTTGTATTAGTGCAAATTCACCTATTCAACGACCGACGCTACAACACAGTTCGTCCACCGCTGGCTCGCCCCGGTTGCACTCGAGCAGTTGTTTCGCTCCGAAACACACACCTGTATGTAACGCCCCTGTTCCGTCTGCCCCCAGACTCCATGTCTCGTCACGGCAGCCAGAGCATGGATGGCTCGTGGGCAGCGGCCGCTCCGGCCACCGTCTCCTCCAAGGATCACGAGAAGCTGCGGCTCCACTACGAGAGGGCCATGCTAGACCTACAGGCCATGAGGAAGTGAGTGGGGGAGGCGGAGGGGGGGGGGGGCTTTGACGATCAGGGTGAAAGTGAGTTGAGAAGGATGAGGAAGAAAACAGACCAAGGTTGTCGATGTGAGATCAGGATCGCGATAGGGCATGTGCTATGTTTTAAAGAAGGGGGGGGGGGGGATTTGGTGCTGAGCGATTGTGAGAGATTTCTCCCAGCTGCTGCTCTATTTAGGCTCTATTGAAGCATAATGGTTGAGTTTCAGTGAGTAGTGTGTCAGGCCGGCTCCAGCAATAAGTTTGATTTACTATATACCCTGTTTTTGAGACAACCCAGTTTCCCTGTAAACCCCAAACCAACGCATCGCCCACCGTTGACCCTCAATGACTCCCCCCCCCCCTCCCCCGCTCAGACGACTGTCCGACACGGTCCGTGACTACGAGACCGCCAAACGGGAGGCCGACAGCGCGCGCGGGAAGCACAAGGTGGCCCTCTCCAAGCTGGAGTCGGTGGCGGCCGAGGCGGGCTCTCTGCGCGCTCAGTTTGCCGAGGTCAGCGGTCAGCGCGATCGGCTACAGCAGGACCTGCGGCGCGCGCAGGCGCAGCTCAAACTCGACGACGGCGAGAGGAGAAAGGTGCGGGACTAAGGGAGGAGGGAGAGGGGACGTCCGTGGCGGGAGGGGGCATCCCTAAGTGCTGTTAAATGCAACTGGCTCCTTCAGTAACTAGTAGTCCAAAATCATATGCTGCCCCAGATGGAAAGTGACACTTTTTTGGTAATTACTCTCGACGTCTCGAGACTCACCGTCGTCAGTTTTTTTTTTCAGAATTTTCTTTTTCCAAATTATTCAAGCTAGGAGATCTTTTGGTGAATGTGTGTTTCGAGCCAAGCATCTTCCAATTCACAATAATCGTGATGAAATATGTCATTCAACGCTCCATGTCATACAACTCATACAATATACATGTCATACAATATGTCATACAACTCTAGCCAGCGGCCTATTGTGATTTGTGATATTGCGTGTAAGGTGTTGTGAAAAACCAGAACAGCCTTTGGATCTCACTGTTATTCAACTGGCCGGGACTGACGACGTTTTTACAGGCGTCTTTTTCATCTTAACAGGATGTATATCTAAATTGCATTTCCTCACTCATCCTCTGCCGTGTCAGTTAATCCCTCTGGTAATTCCAATCAAAAGTTTCATTATCACCTCGACCGCCCACAGGAGGGCGGCGCCAAAGACTGCGGTGACGAGCCGCCGCACCAGGCGTACCGCAACGCCATCTACAAGTACGAGACGATGCGTGACGAGTACGACGCCCTGCGGAGCCGTTACGACAGTGTCGTGACGTCACACTCGGCGGCTGTGAGCAAACTGGAGCTCTCCCAGGTGAGACAGGGGGAGAGAGGGAGGGGTGCAGTGAAAAGGGGAGAGGTGAGTTAAGTCGGATAGGATATGGTGAAGCACCATTTTGTCAGAGTTCTTCTCGCTGACTTATATCGTTCATATTTCACCGCATTCATATTTCATATTCACCGCAATAAAGTAGCGAATAATATCGAGTAGTGATTTTTTTTTAATAGCTAGTGCTACCGCTACCGTCTGAGGCGAGGATTCTGTAGTGTATATCGAGTTGTGATTGACGTGTGTTTAAAGAGTCGAAGGTCAGTTGTGCGTAGCCATGCTCCCCGCCTTCCTTCAGGAGTATCCGAGTAGGACGTATATTGTCGCCTAAAACACAGTCGGAAGAGGTCCTGCTGAATGTTATTTCTCCACTCTTCCCATCTTGTTCCTCCTAAGAGGAGGTGTCCCGTCTGACCACCGCAGTCGACGCGCCCGTAAACCCTAATAAACAACAACAACAACAACAACAACAACAACAACAACAACAACAACAACAACAACAACAAGAGGTGTCCCGTCTGGAGACGCACCTGGATAAGTCTAACCCTCCCCTCCCTCCCCTCCCTCAGGAGGAGGTGTTCCGTCTTGAGACGCACCTGGATAAGTCTAAACCTCCCCTCCCCCCCCCCCCGTTCCCTCAGGAGGAGGTGTCCCGTCTGAAGGCCCAGCTGGAGGAGTTGGCTACCGTTCCCCTTCCCTCCCTTCCCTCAGGAGGAGGTGTCTCGTCTGAGGCCCTCTATAGAAGTCTGTTGACCCTTTGCCCCTCCTATCTTCAGGAGGAGGTGTCTCGTCTGACGGCCCAGCTGGATGAGTCTGCTAATCCTCCCCTTCCCCCCGTTCCCCCAGGAGGAGGTGTCCCGCCTGAAGGCCCAGCTAACCCTCCCTCCCCTGCCCCCTCCGCCCCTCCAGGAGAAGGTTTCTCGTCTGAGGCCCAGCTGGATGAGTCTGCTAACCCTCCCATTCCCCCCTTCCCTCAGGAGGAGGTGTCCCGTCTGAAGGCCCAGCTGGATGAATCTGCTAACCCTCCCCCTCCCTCTCTCCTCTCAGGAGGAGGTGTCTCGTCTAAAGGCCCAGCTGGATGAGTCTGCTAACCCTCCCCTTCCCCCCGTTCCCTCAGGAGGAGGTATCCCGTCTAAAGGCCCAGCTGGAAGAAGCCCTCCAACAGCAGGGGGCCGCCCTGCGCGAGCGGACGGCCGCTATACGGGAGAGGGACGGCCTGAAACAGCAGTGTACCGCGGCCATCAGACAGTGGGACAACGCGCTGCGTGAACGGAACGAGTTCAAGGAGGCCTGCATTAAGGTGGGTGTGGGCTGACTGCTGGAGCGGGCGTCGGGGGATGCTCGGAGGGCTTAGGACCTGGAGGTGGACCATACGCTCAATGAGCCATCCATTAGAAACGATGGCAGTTTAGGTGGGCTGCAGAGGACGCATGGAAGGTGGGAGCAAGCGACAGTCTAAAGATCTGGCCGTTGCCTGGTCTCTGTGGCTTTGGATATGCTGTGGCCCGTATGGTCGCTGAGGGTCTCGTTCTGGGGTTACCAGGCCGCCCTGATTAGGCCGGTAACCACCTTGACTGTCAGCAGTATACCTATCTTTTCTGCCCGCTGCACGGCGCCCGCTTGTCGTGTTTCTAACGTCTCTATCCGCCTCTGTCCCACAGCTGCAGCAGAAGCACGAGGACTCCAACAAGGAGGTGAACCAAGCGATGGCGTCCCGTATCAAGGCCAATAAGGAGGTCAAGAGGCTGACCGAGGAGCGCAACGCCGCCGTCTACGAGACAAAGTCAGTGCCGCCGAACAGGTTTTACAGTGTGGCCGTCAATTGTGTCTTTCTATGTGTGTCTTTTTTGTATTGGTAAAATCGCAGTAAGATCCTGTAGGTGCAGGGTTCCGTCCGACTTATATCCTAACCGTGCGTTTCTATTGGTAAAATTTCAGTAAGATCCTGGAGGAGCGGGACTCCGACCAGAATATCCTAACCGTGTGTATTTGTATTCTCCGACACGCAGTAAGATCCTGGAGGAGCGCGACACGGTGCACAAGGAGATGGAGCGGCTCCAGGAGGACTGTTCGACAGCCGAGGCGCGAGTCAAGGAGCTGGAGACCAGAAACAAAGACATCACCTCAGAGGTAGGATAGGTCGAGCTGCTTGGAGAGCGGAGCTCCTGGGATAGACTGAGGGGCGTGTGATAGATGCAGGGCAGTCATGCGACACTGACCTGGCAGTGCGCTGTGTATGTACGAAAATGTTCTTGGGCATGGCACGGGTATGTGTATTGTGTATGCCGTATGCCGTGATGTGTATGGCAGACTCTACGCGTGACTTTTTCTTGCTGAAGGCTGCTTTATCAAACGATATATTTCCCTAGATGAAACATCGACGTAATGATTTTGTTTTTAATGATCTTTGACAATTATTCTTATTCCAAAACCCATGCTAATATTCAGTATGCCCAAGGCTCGTTGTTGATTGTCTATAGACAGACATGCACTATGGCAACATATCCTACGCGTATCCGAAGACCTACCATCAGCTGTCTAGAAGACCTACCATCTGTCTACCAAACGTGTTCCACCTCGGCTCCAGTCTAACTCTCCCCTCTCCATCAGCGGGAGTCGCTCCGCCGGGAGATCGACTCGGCGCTGGCCGAGCGGGACCGGGCCCTGAGGCGGGCCCACGAGCTGCGCGACCAGCTGGGGGCGGGACACGACGCGCCGAACAAGAACAGCTGGAACAGCAACATCAACAGCTACGACAGCATCCAGCAGGACAGGTCAGACGAGCAGGCCGGGGACATATTATTGGCCTCAGTGGTGGTCGATAATCAGTGCTTATCAGTGGTGGTTTCGAAATATGGTGCGTGAGTTGCTTTTGATACGTTAGGTACTACATACCTACTCAATATCCATACTCCTTTTTTCTGGAAAATATGAGAAGGTTCTTGAAGAGCTGGTAGTTTTGTCGATTTTTTTATAATATGGAAAAAACGCGTATAATCAAAACATGCTCTACCAGCTTCTGCCGGCTGCCCAATTCTTTTTTTCCAAATGGTTTGTGCTACGAGCAATGGGTGTCGATTTCCGCCCAGTTGGGGATGCCCGGGCGCAGCAAATCCGCCGCCGCCCTAGCGGTGACCTTGACCCGCGCCGTCTCCTGGGGCTCCAAAGCCAAGCCGGCCGAGCCGGCGTGGAATTTAGAGAGCTTGAGCACCCCCAACTCGGTGGAAATCAACACCCATGGCTACGAGTTACAATTCGTTTGCATCAGTTTTTTACCGATGGTTTTATAACACACATGATGGACGGTATGCGACGTTTACCCTCAGGACCAAGAGTAAGGACAGTCTGGACTCTGGCCGTTTGTCGGACACAAAGTCCTACAAGGAGCGACTGGAGGACCTGGACGCCGCCAACGCTGAGGTCGACAGACTCCGAAAACTGGCCGAGAAACTGCAGCAGGAGGTGCACGGTGAGACTGATGATGCGGTGATGGCTGCCTGATTCATGCCACGGGAGGGTTTTTGTTCACTTTTTTCGAATCTGCTCGGTAATGTGGCTCCCTGATTCGTGTCACGAGAGGGTTTCCGGTTTTTCTTCGCCTTTTAGTTTTTGTTTCAACTACTGCAGTCAATTATAAGACGTTTACGTGATGTGACAACAAATGAGTCTGGCGCACGTCTTTATCCCATGTCAAAAGGATCTGTATTATGTTATTGTTGTGTTACACCTTTTTTATTGGAGGGCTATCCGTGCGTCCGTTCGTCTCATCCGGAGTCTTTTCTGTAGGAATTGCATGGGTCTGCCTCTGTCCCAGCTTGTCAACATTATCGTCTGCTCCGGGTTTTGTCCTTTGCGCCCCTTGTGATGCTTCCTTCCTGATCTCTGGCCTTCGTCAGTAAGTCGTAACAGAGTCCACACTACCCTGACACCCCTCACCCGTCCCCCCACAGAGTGCCAACAAGAAGCGGACGTGTCCAAGCGGCGGCGCGACTGGGCGTTCGCCGAGCGTGACAAAATCGTCATGGAACGGGAGAGCATCCGTCAGCTGTGCGACCGGCTGCGGAGGGAGAGGGACCGGGCGGTCAGCGACCAGGCCAAGGCCATTCGGGATGCGGACGACGTGCGGAAACAGAAAAACGAGGCCAATAAAGAACTCAAACAGATGAGGTGAGGACCGCGGACTGACTGGGGAGGAATGGTGTGGTAGGGGGAGGGGGCTTAAATTGTAGGTAACTTAGTGCGGTAATCTTTTGGGCAGTCAGTGCTCGATGGGGGCCCCAGCTTGACTCAAGCCAACCTAGTCCGCTCAATGGTCAAGACATGCATAATGAAAATGAAACATACAATCGCCGGTAATGTGCTTAAGAGCAGGCGCAGCTATTGTGTTGCTCGTGTATTTGTTAGTGGTGCTACGGGAAGAGGAAGTGAAGCAGTGTCATCTGACTCGCTCATTGACGGATTTGTGCGTTTTCCGTCTTTTGAGTATCAGTTTTATGTTTGTACCCTGCTGAGTGTTTGTTTGAATCACATGTGTTCGTATAACAGGGAGTAAACGGAGCAGCTTTTTGACCTGACGTCCGGCCACCCTACTGTTTTTGTTTGTACCCTACTGAGTGTTTGTATGTCCGCATTACACAGGGAGCAGTTGGAGCAGCAGTCGCACCTCGCCGGCTACCCTGCTGTTTGTGTTTGTTCTCTGCTGTTTGTGTTTATGTTTGTACCCTGCTGAGTGTTTGTCTGTGTTTTACAGAGAGCAGTTGGAGCAACAGTCGCACCTCGCCGGCTACCCTGTGTGTGTGTTGTCTGCTGTTTGTGTTTATGTTTGTACCCTGCTGAGTGTGTGTTTGTCTGTGTTTTACAGGGAGCAGCTGGAGCAGCAGTCGCACCTCGCCTGCTACCCGTCGCCGGGCGGGGAGATGGGACTGGCCGAGCCCGAGAGGCCTGAGTGGCTCAGTCTGCACCTCACACTCGACTCGGTAAGGAAGGGCTGGGAGGAAGAGACTAGATCACCGCAGTGAACCGTGGGCGTGGCCAGGCACAGGAAAACCAAAGGGATATGTCATCTACCCAGGCCATGGTCACTAGAATGCCTGAAACTTACTCGGTTTCGGGTGGAATAGTGATATTTTTTTCGTAAGATTCGGGAACTTTCAAATGGAAAATATAATTTATTTGCCTAATACCATAATAAATGCATTATTAAATGCTATAAGTGGTCACGTCATGATGAGTGATGACGTCAGCCGGGCCTGCGCGTAATTTCTCGTGACGCCACATGGTATTTATCGCCTCGCATCTACCTCCACCTTTAGCCTGAGCTACCCTGAGCTACACTTGAGATGTACAGCCCTCTGCAGACTGCGTGGTAGGTATTCTTTTTCCGACAAAACTGATAATAATTCAAAAGTCATGTTATCACTCGGTCGAAACTCACTGCAAATAGATGCGCCATGCTCCACTCCTTCGATAGGGCCTATCAATAAACAAAGCATACGCCTTGTGTGGCAACAAAATGTAAGAGTTCGTTTTGGGGGCAAATATAAACTTTTGGGTTTTGTTGCCAAACTGGATGGAAAATGCATACGATGGTAATGCCAATCTAAGCCGCGGAGTCTCGCGCATCTTGCTGTTACGATTTCCGAGTGCCCGATAGCATAGTATTCGCGTTATTCTCGGTTTTGTCGAAAAAAGAATACCTACCACGCAGTCTGCAGAGGGCTGTACTTGAGTCTTGAGATATTTCCTGTCCGCCTCGAGTGGCCTGCTTTACTCTGTGAAGGGCTTTGTTGAATGCCCCCTCCCCCCCAACTTGTCGATACGTTGTCGGGCCTGACAGACAGTGTTTCGAGTGAATGGATGCCTCTACCGGCGTGTGTTGCCCGGTGAGATGATAACTCGTTCTCTATAACTGATGTGACTTCCTGTTGCCATCCCATAGACCTCAGCTGTACTGACCTAACCCACTGCCCACTGCCTCTGCCACCGAGCTGTGCTGACCTGGCTCACGTTCAGAACGTGGATTTGTTCTTACACAGATTCACACAGTCTGTGTCACTGAACTGAAATGGCCTCCCCCGTCCCTTGTGTTTTCCTGACCAGACCCAATGTTCTGTGTCACTGAACCGAGGTGACCCCCCCCCCCCGTCCCACAGACCCGCAGTACCGCCCTGACCTCCGTCCACTGACCTCCGTCCCCCCCCCTCCCCGGCAGGCGTGCGGCTCGGACCGTCTGCGCGGCGTCTCTCTGATCGGCGGTGTGGACGGGGAGCGGGGTGCCGACGGCGGGCCCCAGCCGGTCACCGTGGGCTCCGTGGCGCCCGACTCTGCCGCCGCCGGCCGGCTGATGCCCGGAGACCGCCTGCTGCGAGTGGGGAGCTTGGACTGTGCCAACATGACGGCCCGACTGGTGCAGGAGGCGGTCCGGAGTAGTGTGGGGGCGGTGAGGCTCCTGGTGAGACGCCGCCGCACCGCGCGCACCACGCACCTTCTACTGTCGGAGAGGGAGTATCACGGTATCGGACTGGAGCAGGGGGTGTACATTGGGAGGATTGAACCGGGTAGCGCGGCCGCCAGGGATGGCACGCTCAGTGTCGGCGATCGACTACTGATGGTGAATGGCGCCGTGGTGGATACGGCGGTCGGTGCCGACGCTGTGGCGCAGCTGCTCGACTCGTCTCCTAACCTGACCATCACCGTTCGTCCCGGCGTGGGACTGCCGGCCGAGACGGCGACGCCGGCCGCTGCCGCCGCGTCCCCGTACTCGTCGCGGCGGAGAGACCGTCTGTCGACGGGTGGTCAGCGTGCTGAGTCCAGTCCGGCAGAGGCGGCCGCCGGGGACGGAGCCCGCAGCCCTCTGGCCATGGTGAGGGATATAGTGTGTTCGGGAAGACGCTCCAAGGAGCGCTCCGCACCGACAGAGGCGCGTATTGACGACGAGGCGCAGAATGTCCTCGATCAGTTCAATGCAGTGCTAGAGAGTAGTGAAAAGGCCGACAAGAGGCGCCGCCGGGGCCGGAGGCGCGAGGAGCGCAATGGCACGTGGCCCAAGTACCGCGGCGGGGGCGGGGCCGGCGGCTCGACCGAGTTGACTGCCCTGGCGGCTGCCGCCGGCGCAGCGACCGTCTCCCGCCCCGGCCGGCGCCGAGAGAGAATGCCACTCTCAATGCTGGTAGATGATACCACCAAACTCGACAAGTCGTACGAGAAGAGCGAGGAGTCGCTGGCCGCGTCTCCGTTTGACCCGTACAACTATCTGCTGAGGGAGCAGTACGGCGCGGCGCGGGCGCCGCCGCCGCCCGACTTGGGGGCCAGTCTCACCCCATCAGACACCAGCATCGACTTCAGTGTGAAGAGCGTCAAACTGGACAAGGAGGGGCTCGAGTACTACACCAAGAAGAGTGGCAAGTACTCCCAGTCGGACTCGGAGTCTAACGTCAGTCCGGTGGAGACAGGCTCGTCCCTCGCGGTGACCTACCTGACTGAGGGCGCGGCGGCTGCGGCTGGTGGAGCTGCCGGCCCGGCCGCGGGGCGTGCTCATCTACGCTCTCTGTACGGGTCGCCAGTGTCGTTTGTGCCTCCCTACATGCCGTACACGCACACCCACACGCACACGCACGCGCCGACGTCTCGATACTCGTCTCCTGTGCCGGTACATTTGTCGGCGGTGTCGGCGGCTGAACAGCGACGATCAGCTGGGTATGACCCTGCGTTCGACCCGACGGCACCGAACCTGCCGCACGGGCTGTACCTTCACGCGCCGTCTCCCTCTCTGGACTACACGGCGGGCTACCCTCGGCCGGGGTATCTCCTGGCGGACCACCGCCACGGCCCGGGCAGGGTCCCGGACCCGGCGCTGGGCCCGCGCGCGCGGCTGGCCTCGGCGCCCGGCAGTCGCCTGTCGTCCCCCGGCGGGCAGCGGGCCCCTTCAGCTGGCAGCGTGGAGCTAGGCGGGGACCTGCTCGAGCCGGGCAGCCCACCCAGCTTCAGCGTGGAGCTGCTGAACCCCGGCGGCGGCGGCTGCTCCACGTCCGGCAGCTCCAGCTGGCGGACGAAACCTCTGCCCGGGGATCTACGGAACATAGTGATCGAGCGGAGTGACCACCAGCTCGGGATCTCGATCTCCTGTCACCCCAGTGGAGGGGTGTTCGTGGCAGAGGTCACCCACGGGAGCCTGGCCTCCCAGGTGAACCTCCAGGTGGGGGACCAGATTCTGGAGGTGTGCGGGATCAATCTCCGCACTGCCAACCATCAGATGGCTGCTAGTGTTCTATCGCAGTGTGGTGACTCTCGACGGATCCTGGTGCAGTATAACCCGGACCGGTACGAGCTGGCGCGCCGGTACGACGCCCATCCTCCGCTCTCCTCCGGGGGAGAGGACGAGGAGGACGAGGATGAGGACGAGGACTCTGGCCGCCCGGAGCCCTCCTGTAGCGGCTCGCCCACCCCGTGCAACTCCCCCAAACCGTGCCGCGACGAGCGCGAGCGGGAGGACGTGCCTCCGTCGGGGAGCTCGACTCTGCGCGGGCCGCTGGCGCTCGGCGCCGCCGCCACCGCCAGTCAGGCCAACACTCTGACCCGCCAGCAGATGGCACAGGTCGCGTCCACACTGAGCCGCTCGGAGACGGTGAAACGCTCCGACACCGTGCGCCGCAGACAGGGCGGCGCCGAGGCGGCCCCTCCGGCGGCCGTCAGCCGGCGCGCCGCCGGCGACTCCTCAGAGGAGGAGGATGAGGAGTCCTCGGCCCGCGTGGTGTACCTCGAGTCGGCTGGCTCGGCGAACCTGGGAGTGCAGTTAGTCGGAGGGAACGCCGTGGGAATCTACGTGCACTCAGTGGAAACGGGCAGTTCGGCGGCGGCGGCGGGACTGCGCTGCGGGGACCGCATCCTCGAGTATAACGGCGCGGACCTGCGGCGAGCCACTGCCGAGCAGGCGGCTTGTGAGCTGGCCAAGCCCGCCGACAAGGTTACTGTGAGGGTGGTGTACCGCTACCAGCGCTACCTGCAGGTGCGCGACCAGCCCGGCGACTCGTTCTACGTCCGGGCGCAGTTCGACTACCAGCCCGAGGCGGGTAATGGTACCGAGCTGAAGTTCCACCGGGATAACATACTGCTCGTCGTAAACACCATGTTTAACGGCCAGCCCGGTCTGTGGCAGGCGTGGCTACTCGATACGAGTAACGGACGGAAACTGCACTGCGGTATCATCCCCAGTAAGTTCAGCGTCGATAACCAGCTGAACCGCTCCCAGGGCGACGTCTCCTCCGGCGACCCGGGCCGGCGGAGCTCCGTCTCCATCCGCCGCTCCATCTTCCGGCGCAAGTCCAAGCACCAGCGCTCCTCCAGTCGCGAGAGCAAGGAGCTGGCCAGCTTCAGTGACGTGAGCATCAACGAGTTCTCGGAGCCGTCGGTCTCCACAGAGACGGTGAGCAGCTACCAGCGCGTGGAGCGACTCGACTCGTACATCTCAGTGCGCCCCGTGCTGGTGGTGGGTCCACTGTCAGAGCTGATTGCCGACCGACTGTGTGCTGAGTATCCCCACCAGTTTGTCCGGCCGGCCCTGGAGGTGGTGCGGACACAGCAGGCGGCGATCGACCAGCGCGTTCAGCAGGCGGCCATAGTCGACTACAGGAGACGGGGTAGCCACTATCAGGTGCTGACCGCCGCGGCCATACGAGACTGGAGCGATGGGGTGAGTGTAGGGAGACGGGGAGAGAGACGCGGGAGGGGTAAGTGTATGGGGGGACGGGAATGGGGTGAGTGTGGGAAGACGGGGAATGGGGGAGGGGTAAGAACGGGAGAAGGGTGCTTGGGAGAGTGACGGTATATAGGGAACGAGAGGGATGTGTATACGAGAGTAGTGGCCCGGGCGGGAGGTGGGGGGGGGGGGGAGTAGTAAAGTAATCTTGGGGGGGGGGGTGTAGGAGACGGTCGAGGGTGGGGGAAGGGTATATGGGAAGCGGGTATGGTGAGGTGGGGCGAGGGAGGCGGGACGCGGAGTGTTGATGGAGGAGAGGGGAGTTTGTTGAAGAAAAGTTACGGGAAAGTTGTGTACTTAGTGTAAGCGCCGGATATGCACAATCAAAGATCACCAGAAGAAAGGAAGAGATGGATAGAACGAGTAGTGCAGAGAGAAGGATGTTGGATAGTAGATAAGGACTGGGTACCTTAGCAGGTAGCACTGCACTATACCCGTATAGCACTAGACTGCTGTGCTGTAGCTGTGACACTGAGACTGTGCTGTACTGTGACGCTGTTCCTGCTCCTTTGCTTTGCCAGGATCGCCACTGTGTTCTCGATATGGATGTGAGCGCCCTCGGCCGTCTGCACCGGCACCGGATTCACCCGATCGTGCTGCTGGTGCGCTTCAAGTCCGTCAAACAAATACGCGAGGTGAGGGTAATTATACATCCGTCAAACAAATACGCAAAGACCGAGGTGAGGGTAATTATATCTGTAAAACAAATACGCGAGTTGAGCGTAATAATTACAACCGTCAAACAAATACGGTAGGTGAGTTTTATTATGTCCGTCAAACAAAACCCGAGGTGAGGGTAATTTTATCCGTCAAACAAATACGCGAGCTGGGAGTGAATGCATTACCGCCAAGCAAAGACGAAAGATGAACACTTATCCGTCAAACAAACGTGGAAATTTTTTATCGTTTTGTAAATAGGTACGCGATGTCTCGTCAGAGAAATACTGGAGGCGGGCATTTGTTAGTTAAATATACCACGGTAGCTCAAAGTTTCGCATGTTGCATGTTCACTCAGCTTTCTATCGTGACCTGCATCTGAGCCCCCAGCTGCCAATGCCCGATTCCCGCCTTTCCATGTTTACCAGTAATACAGAACTCGCGTCCACACCGTGTTCTATCTCTGCACCTCAGGTACGGGAGTCTGTGTACCCCATGGAGAAGGTGTGTACCAAGGCCGCCAAAGACATGCACGAGAACGCCAGGAAGCTGGAACACGACCTGAAGAACGTCCTATCCGGTGAGATAGCTGACGGCGGGCTGGGCTGACTGGGGCAGCTACTGCGGGGATGGGCGGCGTGGATGGAAATAATTGGGTGTGGGGAGACGATGCGGCGAAGAACGGACGGTGTTTTGGGCGTACGATTTATTGATTGATGTGTCGTATGTGTCCATTGTGACCGATGAATCATCGCCCAATCATGTCACGTGTAATCTGTGCTTGACTTGTAGTTGTGACGCTAGTGATAGGTATCTGTCTATCGGTTCAAGGGGAGGGGGAGCGGAACCATGGCGTTACCTTGATGCGTCAATGACTACTTGTCTTACTGTTTATCCGTGATTGTGGCTGCATGCAAGTATGTTTTAGCCGACTAACTCGAGTGTTTTCGGTTTCAGCCACGGTGCCGGGCGGCGGCAACATGGCCTATCTGTGCACCCAGGTGAAGGCAGCAGTCGAGCAGGAGCAAAACAAGGCACTGTGGGTGCCTAGTGGGACCATATGACGTGCACAGGTCCTCTCCACTTGGGTATAGTCGTCAGCGTGTCCCGCCAGCGACGGGACCGGACTACTGGCTGGGGAGAGGACTGAGAGAGGGAGAGAGGGGGGAGGGGACGGAGGGGCTACCTGAGCTATACTGACCGAGTGGCCTGGGGCCACCGGCGGGCCCGCGCCACACAAGCTTTATACCGCCGACAGCGCCGTAGAACTGCGTAGAAGCGTAGTGCTTGCCGGCGGAGCGTCGTCGCTGGACGGCGGAGTGTATATGTTTTTATGAAATATGTATATGGACGCGTGGGATCGGTGAGATTACCAAAGCTAAATAGCTGAGCGGGCTTATATTGAGTGTCAGCGGCAGCCGGAATCACGGTGGCAGTCTCAGTGGGCGCAGCTCGGTTCGGTGTACACTCGCGGTGAGCCGTGAGCGGGGAGTGTAGCGTAGGACGGGGCAGCTGCAGATGTGCCGCTGTGGTCTTCATAGTACCGCTTATATACGGGCGCTTCGCGTATCCGCTGCGCCGGCGTCTTGTCTTCTGTGGTCTGCGAGTGCCTTGTCTTGTTCAGGTGCCTGTATCAGTGCCTTGACTCTTCCAGTGCCTTGCCTGTCTGTGTCTCTTTTCTCCAACATTCATGCCAACGTGTGTCTCGTCCAATGCCTGTCATAAAGCCTGTCCCGGTGTTTTTCATCTCTCATTGTGTGCCTTCCAATGCCTTGCCTCTTCTAGTGCCTTTCGTCTTATGGTGCCTGCGTGGACCGTCTTGTGGGCGTCTTCCGTAGCTCCTTATATGAGAGTTGTGAATGAGGTCGATTTGACTGACTGACGATCGTATCACATTATATACTTCTTTACGATTGTGCATGAGTCTTTGTGGGGTACACAGCTGCTATATGTATACCGTGCACTATACTCGATATAGTGCACGTTTGTTCGTGAATCACTGTGCATGTTTATATGAGTAGATGTGCGCGCAATGTGCATCTATTCGATGATGATTCGACAATCACAGCATTATTACGTACGTGAGCTGCTGCACACAGCGTGATCCTGTCTGCTTATATGAGTGATCCCCCGGTACATACGGGCGTATGTTCGCCAACCTTGCAAATGAGTCCGTTTGTGGACCGCTGCTATGATGTCAGCTCTCCGTTCGCTGGGCTTTCTCGGAATACAGCTGCGGGCGCGACTCACTGCGTTTGGTCCACTTCTATCAGAAATGGGCTGGCGAGGAGTATGACCCCGATTCAGCAGGTCTTAGTTCTCTCATTTTCCACAAAGCCAATCCCGTTTAGTTCTCTCAGTAAGACCGAAGAGAGGAAGTAATTCATTGCAGTTATCTTCTTTCAGGCATCAGCACCTCAACAGTTCGACACACTGCTTACTACACCATCGCTTTATTGCAATGTCCTCTGATAAAAACCCACGGACGCGTTAGTAAACACTCGTACAGCACTATGGCACACACACAGGCTACATAGGTACTGATCAGACCACAATCATCCGACCGCTTCCACGAACTAACAAACAAAACGTATTGGCACAAATGCAAACAGCTGCGCATACGGGCACGCCGTCTAAAATGACGTAAAATATACATTGGTGAAACGAGCTGCCTATTTCTGAGCTGACGACTGTGGAACCAAATCAGGCACAGTTTTTGCAAAGGACAAGATGGGCTGCCCTATCCTAACGGCTCACATACAACCGGTTGAGTTATTTTTCTGATCACCGAGAGCCAAAGAATGCGATTCACTCTATTAGCGGTGGATTCGACAATCGTCTGAGGGTCCGCGTCGCGTTCAGCTTCGCTCAGCCAGCCACCTAGCTAGCTCATCCCTGTGGTTTTTCAGCCAGTTGATGTTGGCCTGTGTGGTCTCGAGCGCCTCACGACGCGACCTCTCGCCGGCGCCCGCCTCCGGGTAGCGCGCGAAAAACTGGCGCATCTCGTCCAGCTGGAGTTGCGTGTCGAAATGGCGCGTGATTCGCGGCACCATGAAGCCCAGGTAGCGTTCGTTGAGCGAGAAGCGCGGCACCAGGTACGACTCCCATTCAGCCCTGGAGAAAGAGAGACACGGGTCAGGTCAGCAGTCTGCAGAAGCTCGGCTGTGGATCATTTGCCGTTGTCGAAAGATGGGATGAGTCTGTACTGAAGGAAGATAACACTGCTTGATGAGTGGCGGATGAAATAAGGACGGTTCAAAGTGGCTTTTTGGAAATGGGACTGTCCAATTTGTCCATCTGACGATAAAGATCGAAGTCAGTTTGCATTGCATGTCTGGGAAGACCGACAGGGCAGATGAGAACTGACATTGGTTGAAACGGGGAGCATTCATTCTGGCCAGGGTTCATAATGTCCAGGGTACGTGTCGTTATGCCCAGTGTCGAAATGGCCAGTGCCATGAATGGGCAGAGTTCATAATGTCCATTGTCCAGGGATTGCATGGTCCAAATGCGGCCAACTGGCTGCAGATAAACAACAGCTGCAGACTACTTTAGTAGTTTCCTGTGTATGGCGAGATCCCCTCTAATGAGTACCTATAGTCTGCTGGCCTGCATTCCTCGAACATGTGTTCCATTGCCTGCGGTCACCATATACTTTCCCATCCAGCTGTGCTGTTTCGGTGGTCAAAGTTTCAAACGCTTCTATTATTATTATTTTTTGTGGGTTGCTTACCATATTGAACCACACTTATCGATTCCCTATGGCTGGCTTGCTTACCGTAGGAAGTTCCAGACGATTGGATTTCCCACCGGATTGGCGGCCACGGTCGAGCACAGCGTGAAAAAGTCCTGCGAGCGGACGTAGCTCTCGTTTTTGGCGAGATTCAGGAGCCGGCTGAGCAGCCATGGCTGGCGGACCTGAGGGTCAGAGAGGGCAAGGTCAACTGAGGGTGACCTGAGGGTCAGAGAGGGCAAGGTCAACTGAGGGTGACCTGAGGGCCAGAGACGGGAAGGTCAACTGAGGGTGACCCTGAGGGTCAGAGAGGGCAAGGTCAACTGAGGGTGACCTGAGGGTCAGAGAGGGCAAGGTCAACTGAGGGTGACCTGAGGGCCAGACGGCTCACGGTCAACTAAGGGTGACCTGCATGTAAGACGGATCACGGTCAACTGAGGGTGACCCGGAGGGTCAGAGAGGGCAAGGTCAACTGAAGGTGACCTCAGAGTCAGAGAGGGCAAGGTCAACTGAGGGTGACCTGAGGGTCAGAGAAGTCAAGGTCAACTGAGTGTGACCCGGAGGGTCAGACGGGTCACGGTCATCTGAGTGTGACCTAAGACGACAGGTCATAGCCAATGAACAGCCACTGGCTCGCGGGACTGAGCTGAGTCAGACCGGTCAGGGTCACATTGATACTGGGGGGATCACCAGCGCTCCCACATGCTCGACTGTATCAGAGGTAACATGCTCGCCGGTACGTGCTCTCATGTCAGCCGTATCAGTCGTCGCGGGTATCGTCAATCAACGGGCCTGTTTCGATAAAAAATATTTGCTCGTGAGCCCTGCATAAGTCTTGATAAGGTTCCTAATACCAACCGAACAAAGACTAAATCATAGTGTGTCAGTGGATACAATTTCGGCTGGAGATAACTCCCACTCAATTTCAAGTGAAGATTTGCAGAAAGATAGCAACAGCTTAAAGCCAAATATCGTCACCACTTTAGGACAACATTCACGGAACTTCCCTAGATAGGAGAAGCATTGATACCTACGACAAAGCGCCCCCCCCCCACCCCCACCCCTCCCCTTCTTTTCATGGCCACAATTCGTTGCGATATTACACTACTGCACACTGCGATATACCACACTACGAGTACGGCTATGCGCACTGACGCACGAGTCGAACTACTGAGTATACTGACCGCCGCCAGGCCGTTGACCAGTTTGTTCTTCTGCTGAGAGTTGTTCTCGTTGATATAGCGACTCCACGTAATGTCCCAGGCATCAGCAGAGTCTGGAAAATACAGAGGCGGAATCCAGATGTAAGACTGTCTCATGTAGACGATCCTGGTATAAGAATCATACAGCAGCTGAGCTGAGCTGTCCCCACAGAGACACAGGTCCACACGGCAGACCGGCTCTAATGTCACCATATGTCGCAGTGGTGAATATCGAGGGCAGCGCTTTTCGAGGAACGCTGTGGCCCGAAGGTTTGGATTTTGAATTGTGAAAAACGCCCGCCCGACGCAAAACGCAAACACCGCAAAACGCGCAAAACGCACGCCCGAAACGCCAACACAAAGGTCGCAAAAAAATAAACAAACGCCCGCCCGCCGCAAACCGCAAATAAAAAAACGAAAAAAACGCCGCAAAACAATAAAACCGCCCGCATCGCACGCCCGCTAACCGCCAACCGAAAACGCCTAAAAATCGCCCACCCGCCGCCAAAAGCAAACACCGCAAAAAAACGAAAAAGCGGCCGCCAACCGCAAACAAATTTAACACCGCAAACGACGCAAAAAAAAAACGCCAGCATCGCCCGCCCGCCCGCCCGCCGCCAAAGACAAACACCGCAAAAAACCCAAAGCCCCGGCCGCCGCAAAACGTAAACACCGCAAAACGTGCAAAACGCACGCCCGAAACGCCAACGCAAACGGCAAAAAAATCGCCCGACCGCCGCAAACCACACACAAAAAAAAAAACGCCGAAACGCCGAAAAAAATAAAACCGCCCGCACCACACCGACGCTAACTGCTAACCGAAAACGATTAAAAGTCGCCCGCCAGCCGCCAACCGCAAACACCGCCAGGGGCGGATCCAGGAAAACTCCAAGGGGAGGGTCATGAATCGAAGTGGTGCCCCTACCTATACCCAAAATTAAAAACTCAACGGATTTCGTCCACTTCATTTTGGTGGTGCCCCCATTTTCAGTTTTTTTTTAATTTTTATTTTTAGTCAGTATCTTAACTTTTGCCACAACCACATTTACCAATTGTAAGCAAGTATATATGAATGTGCTATGTATATATGTTGTGGACGCTGAGTAGTGAGTACTTACCAGGAACGTTATCAGGTAAGCGAATCGTTGTCAGTCCGACGAACTTGACCCTGGCGTCTAAAGGGTCTGTCCTTGACACTTCAGGCTTGTCAGGGGCACCAAAGTCCTTCCAGGGACACCACAAACCTGTCAGGGGCACCTACGGCCTTGTAGGGGCGCCACAGGCCCGCCAGGAAGCAGGGGCACCACAGGTCTAGCAAGTATACACGACAGGCCTGTCAGGGGCACAACGGGCCTGTTGGGCCCATGAGCACCCCTAGGGGCAGGGGCACCACAGTCCTTCCAGGGGCACCGCAGGCCTGTGAGGGGCACCAGCGGCCTAGCAGGGGCACCAGTCAACACAGGCCTGCCAGGGGCACCACAGACCTGCCAGGGGCACCAGAGGCCTGCCAGGAGCACCACCGACCTTGCAGGGGTAACTTGGGCCTGTCAGGGGCACCACGGGCCTGTCGAGAGGCACTTCAGGCTTTTCAGGGGCACCATAGTCCTCGGCCGGGCGCAGGGGTAGCAGGGGCACCAGAGGCCTGCCAGGGGCACTACAGGCCTAGTAAGGGCACCACTGGTCTATCAGGGGCACCACGAGCCTGTCATAGCCAGGCATCTCAGGCTTGTCAAGGCCCAGGGGCACCACAGGTCTGTGAGGGGCACCAGCGACCTAGCAGGGGCACCAGTCAACACAGGTCTGTCAGGGGCGCCACAGACCTGCCAGGGGCACCAGAGGTCTGCCAGGGGCACCACCGGCCTCGCAGGGGCACCTTGGGCCTGTCAGGGGCACCACGGGCCTGCCGAGGGGCACTTCAGACTTTTCAGGGGCACCAGTCCTCTTAGGGCGCAGGGGTACCAGCGGCCTAGCAAGGGCACCAGAGGCCTGCCAGGGGCACCACAGGCCTAACAAGGGCACCACGGGCCTGTCAGGGGCACCTCAGGGTTGTCAGGGCCCAGGGACACCACAGTCCTTCCAAGGGCACCGCAACCCTGTCAGGGGCACCAGAGGCCTGCCAGGGGCACCACAGGCCTGTCAGGGGCACCACAGGCCTAGCAAGGCACCACTGGCCTGTCATGGCCGGGCACCTCAGGCTTGTCAGGGCCCAGGGGCACCACAGTCCTTCCAGGGGCATTACAAGCCTGTCAGGGGCACCAGAGGCCTAGCAAGGGCACCACAGGCCTACCATGGACACCACAGGCCTGCCAGGGGCACCACCGGCCTTGCAGGGGCGCCTCAGGCCTGTCAGGGGCACCACGTCCCTGCCGGGGACACTTCAGGCTTGTCAGGGGCGTTACAGTCCTGTCAGGGCCCAGGGGCACCAGGCCCGTGGTGTCCCTGCTAGGCCTGTGGTGCCCCTGGTGGTCCTGTGGTGCCCCTGTCAGGACTGTGATACCCCTGATAGGCCGGTGGTGCCCCTGGCAGGTCTTTGGGCCCCCGGGCCTCAAGGGGGGGGGCCATGACCCATGTGACCCCCCCCTTGGATCCGCCCCTGAACACCGCAAATAAGCGCCCGGCCGTAGCAAGATAATAATTCATCAACGACGGGCATACCGCTAGGCCATGGTCATTTTCACAAATCAAAAAGATATCTGCAAAAATCTCCTAGATGAAAGCGCCCGATTAAAAACGGATGGCACGTGCGTGTTCCTCGCCCCCAACTTCCTTCAGGTCAATCGTCATTTGGGTCACCTAACGCATTGACGACCGGCTGGGTGGAATGGACATTGCGCCAAGAAACGTAAGTATATCAAAAAGAATCCCCAGAATGGTGGATCCCAAAAGTTTGAAACTACCACTTTGACCCACTGGACGACACCTTAAACAGTTGCCGACCGGATGACACCCATTGTTTGGTCACCCACGCCATAGTATGCACTATGCACTATGCATCATGGGTGCGCCGAAATGACCAAAAGTCCCAATTTCCGGTGTGCAGGGTCATTTTCAACGGCACGTGACACGTGGCTCTGGACTTTTCCGGCCACTTTGCGACATACCCATGGGTAGTGCAACGAATGGTGGTTGATCCGCATGGAAGAAAATGGGTCGTTTGGATCGTTTTCGCGCAATCTGCCGTGGAACGCATTTTTTCATTTTGCCCATTGGCTTAACACGGGAATTTTCAAAGTCACGCGGCACGTGCACCAGATGGTCCGCGGAGGGGAGACTCATACCAGAACGTAGATCACCTGGCCCACTAGAAATCCTGAAAAAATCAGAATTTTTGGAACAACCGTTTTCTCGAGCATCAAGTTGTACTGATCTCAGGCAGCTTTTGCCAAATTGTCAGGGAACTCAGATTTGTTTTTCAATAGAAAAACACAATTCTAAAGCATAGTGTTTTAACTATTGACAACAAACCTTCGGTTATCACGGACGATGGCGGTGCAGGGTGATGACGATATGTAAAAGCAGTCAGCACTGCATGTAGCAATCCGTAATCAGGCATTAATTATCATTTATTACTAGAGGGACAGCATTACGCGCAGCGTAATAAATCAATTTTCATTGCAATCGGCCCAGTAGCGGCCGAGTTATTGCCAGAATAAATTTGGCGACTCCTCTTGACCTATCTTGAAAAAACTCCTATTGAAATTTGGCTCTGTTCCGGTATTCATTGTCAAAGGTCAGTGACCTGCCGGCTCTGATTTCGCTCAGTTTTGCAAGCGAAGAAACTGAGCCTAAGGCGCGTGCCGTCTGCTCGAAGGCCGCCGCGGCCCAAAATGCCGCAAAGATGCACCCGCCACGTGCAAACCGCCGAGCGCACCCTACCAAAATTTAATACGACAAATGGTTGCACGCGCCCGATCCGGCACCAAAGTTTCACCCCCGTAGCCCGCACCGTCGCCGCGCAACAGCCCGCCAAAGGGAACTGACGCGTTACATGCATACATACATACATACATACATACATTACATACGTACAGACGTTTTGATTTTTATATAGGCAAGTAATTTCACACAACAACTGCTAATCGGTCACGAACTTGGTCGACTGCTGGCAGCTGGCAGAACTCTTAACTCATTCAGTGGCGTATCCAGGGGGGAGGCCAAGAGGCCATGGCCTCCCCCTTTGGCATCAAACATACAAGTGGGCCCTTTTGGTCACTTGAGTGCAGTGACGTACCCAAGGGGGCCATGGGGGTCCTGAGGGGCGCCCTGGTTACCTGAGGGTCCCCCTGGTCACTTGAAGGGTCCCTGGTTATCTGATGGGCCCCTGGTTACCTGAGGGGCCCCTGGTTATCTGAGGGGCCCCTGGTTATCTGAGGAGCCCCTGGTTATCTGAGGGGGCCTTGGTTGCCTGACTGGTCCCTGGTTATCTGAAGGACTCCTGTTTACCTGAGGGGCCCCTGGCTACGGGGCCCGGGGGCTCTGGTTATCTGAGGGGCCCATGGTTATCTGAGGGCCCATGATTATCTGAGGGGCCCCTGGTTTCCTGGGGGCCGCTGCTTACCTGAAGGGCCCCTGATTACCTAAGGGGCCCATGATTGCCTTAGAGCCTCTGATTATCTGAAAGGCCCCTGGTTAACAGTGGGGCCTCTTGGTATATGAGGGCCCCTGGTTATCTGAGGGCCCCTGGTTACCTTACGGGCCACTAGTTATCTAGGGGGCCCCTAGCTACCTGAGGGGCCCCTGATCCTCTGGGTGACCCCTGACCAGTGATATGAAGAAACCCTGGTCACCTGAAGGGCCCATGTTTAACTGGGGAGTACCTGGTAATATGAAGGGCCGCTGCAGTCACATAAAGGCCCTTAGTTACCCGTGGAGCCCCTGGTATAACCGTCCTCTGGTTATCAGAGGGTCCCCTGGTCACCTGGTGGGTCCCTGGTCAATTGAAAGACCCCTGGTCAATTGAAAGGCCCTGGTCACCTGAGAGGCCCCTGATTAGGTGCCTGAACGGCCCGTGATCACTCGGATTCAATGGCATGGCCAGGGGCGAGGGGGCACATGTCCAGTATAGGGTTTAGGG